ATTCTCAGCAATTGAGTAGAGACTAGACCAGGTGACCTTCTAGTTCTTAAATTCAATGAGACCTTTTAAAGTGAAGAACCATCTTCAGGAAAGTTTCCCTAAGAAAGAGAGGAAGCCATTGCTCATTCTAGTCGAATTCCTACCCTTGGAGGTCTTCCCCTATGGTATTTCTTTTCTACTCAGTGTCACTAAATGACTTTACTCACTCTGTGAAAGGCTCAGTTGCTATCTTTTTAAAGGGAGAGTTTAAAAAATTCATGTTAAGACCCTTGGGAAAAGAGATCAACCACATTTAAAAAAAATATGTACAAATATCTCATTGTATACAATTAAGTGTAAAATTTCTCATGCCCTTTAACTCAGGAATTCCATTTTTGAGACTATATTTCTAAAAATAACCCCAAAGGAGAGAATAAAACTACATGTACGAAGGTGTTCATCATATTATTTACAGTAGCAAAGTATTAGACTGAACTTACATGGTGTAGAGATGATTGTTTAAACAATTGAAAAAATGCTATATACTCATTAAAAATAATTATCGAGAAGACTGTAGCTGTGCTCTTACCACAAAAAAATAAAAAATTTAAAAAAGACTATAAGCTACCTAAAAACTGTGTATAACAGAAAGTCTGCTGTGAACAAAAGTGGAATGCAACATTTGGCCAATTTCAGGATTATAAATGTATAAAAATTGTGTGGGCATGAGAACTAAAAAAAACCACTTAAAAATGGAAAACAAAAACCATTTGATTTCTAGAGTTCACCCATTCATCTAACAAACCTTTATTTGGCACCTTCTATGTGGCAGGTGGCAAAAAGCAGGACCCATGGTGGATTTTTTTCTTTTCTTGATTTTGAGTACACTATTATTGTTATCATTTTAGTCTGACAGTAAAATAAATCCTAAGCGAATCACTAGCCAGAGTTTAACTAGGAAATCTGTGGAAATGAGCGGCTGTGAGTTTTTGGCAAATTTCTGTGAACCCGAGTACCCTTTCACTTCTGAAGGAAGAGAAATCAGGGGACTTGAGGAAGGAGTGGTGGCTGCAGAGGCAGCAGCAGTGAGCACATCTCAGCAGAGGGCCAGCCACGGTGGGCAAGTACATGACGGTTCATTGTTTTTCCCACCTGATTTTCCAGGATGCCATCCTTCAAAATCGAGAACTCTGGCTGTTCATCAAGAAAAAATTTGGATTCTACTCTAAAAGTCAATATAGGAACTGGCAAAAAAAGCTGGCAGAGGACTCAACCTGGCCTCCCACAAACAAGACAGATTATTCAGGTGACGGCAAAAATGGATTCTACATCAACGGAGGCTATGAAAGCCATGAACAGATTCCAAAACGAAAACTCGAACTGGGAGGCCAAACCACAGAACAGCATTTTTGGACCAGACTGTAATCAAAATTATTGTCATACATGTTGAGCAGCCTCACCTTTTCCCCCCAGATTAAAACATGGTGGAGAAGTAATGATTGTCTCCCCTTATCTTTTCTCTATTTGAGTATTCAAAGCACATTTCTTAATGCACAAAGGACCTTAGATATGTTTATTTTGCGACAAAGGACCTTAGATATGCTTATTTTGACTGTATCCTTTTCCATTGAGAGAAAAAAATGCATTTTTCTGGATTTTTTTAATAAACTTTATTCATATTGTATAGAATTATGTGGTTTAAAATGACAGCTTTTAAGGTGAAATTAGCAGTATGAACATCAATTTAAAAAAAGGAAAATTGAGGAAATGTTTAGTATTTGAAAGTTTTACCAATACATTGTCACAAGTTTACTTAAATATTACATTCATTTGTGAAAAATATTTACATGCTTATCTTTTTCCAAGGTCACAATTCCTCTTTTATTTCTTTAGCATGGTTTTAATAGAGAAACAAGAAATAACATTTACTTCAGAAAATTCAACCCTAACCACAGTAAACCCAGAGTCGTGTGGAAGTGGACAGTGATGGAGGTTTTTGTTAAGTGCATATAACTTTGGCATGGCACAGCTAATATCTTTGTAAACTCCACCAAAGTTTGGCATCTGTCAATGTATAATATTTTGGGGCCAGTGAGCTGGACGATCACAAATGTCATGAAATAAACTGTTAAAAAGTGCTTTCTATTCATAGAAGCATGGCACCTTTATTTACTCTTCATTACTGACACATGGAAACCTCAAGCTCTAACTGTAAAAGTTGGCAAGAACTCAACATTGCTCATCTTCAAAACAATCCCAAGAAAGGGATTCATAATGTTCGTATGTACAGTGTCACAATTCTCAAGCTACTAAACAACCATAAGTTCTATTTCACCTTTTACTTATCTAAATAATCTTATTAGAGGCACATTAAATACCACAAGAAAGGGTATTTCCTTTACAAATATGTTCTGTACACTTTTACCTTTAATATATATATCACCCTCCCTGTGAACTTGAGAGAAAATTTATTCCTAGTGAACATTTAAAATTACCTACTAGGCTTCTCTTTTCATAATAAATCTAATTTTGCTAATTTAACAGGTCTTTAACAGATCATAGGCTATTAATTAACCAGTCCCATTCTGTGAGTGCCAAATATGTGCCTAATACCATGATCTACGGATTCAATGTAAGATAGCCTTGAGTTTACAATTCTGAAATCTTTAGAATTGGCAAATATTTTCAACATCTAGCAGCTTGCCACTGTAAATAGCATTATAAATGTTGTTACACAAACCAGCAGCATAAATGCAAATTCCTACACAAATAAACCCTGTGTTTACATTTTGTTTGCTTTTTAACCTTTTCTTACATTCATAGTTCTCTGAAGAGTGATAATTTTCAAAATGTGTCTAATTTAGTGGCTATCAATAACAAGACAAAAAGATATGATAGATTTTTAGCTTATGATTAAGAAATGTACGTCAACCTAAAAATTATGGTAGCTCAGGATCCTTGGGCTGACATCTGTATTTAGTAATGCGACTTTTAGAATGAAAAGATTCAACTAATAACCATGACATTCGGATTGCATAAAAATATTTTTTCAAAAATCGGGATCCAATAAATGGATAGCATTGTTTTTGTTCTTTCAACAACCTATTAGGTATTTGGTGTGTGGTGATCTTTATTTCACAAATCTTCTTTTTTTTTTTTTGAACATGATTAAGTCTAACTCCATACCTAACTTCCTAAAAATATGCTTAGAGAAAAATTTAATAGTCTTGGAAAAATCATTTGATAAAAGCCCAGTGAGCATGACCACATATCAAATGATCATCTATAGCAGAAACAAACCAGTCTTAAGCTGCCCATCATCAAGAGCGGTCATGTTTATGGGACACTGATGACTGACTTTGTGAGCTTACCTCTAAGACTGAAAACTACTGCAGCCTTCAACACCAATGTGAAATCAATCCATGAATGTGAAAGTGCATTTGTGACATTATCCGGCACAGCTAAGACTGCCTTCTGGATTGGACACATCCAGAGTTCTTTAGAAAGGATATTGATGTGAGGGTCTCAGGAGCTTCTTGGTCTCAAATCCTGTTCCTTCTCTCACTGGCCAGTGTTGTGATTCTATCACACACGTTTGGGTAGAATCCCGGTTTGGGTCAAGATTTGCCCTCTGCAGGCATCCTTTACTGAGAAGTAAGCATATCTTGGGAAAGGTGACATATTAAGCTGCTACCATTCTCACCTTAACTTGACAGTACTAGAAAACTCATATTTTTGACTATTACTTGGGAGCAGGGCATAAATGGAACAGTGACTTAAATTTGGAATAAAAATGAAGGAGTAATTTTGGATCTTGGTACCTGGTTGGAGACACTAACACCTCCCCAGAAGCCCAGTGGAGGAAGACAGAGTTTGGGTGTTACCTGGAGACAGAGTTGATATTATAAGAAAGGGAAAGGGTTAATCAGGGAAAAAGAAAAGATAGGGTCTCTGCTGGCCCTGACTACAGCACACAATCCCTCTCTTATCATTATTCTTAACACTGCAATTACCTTGTGGAGCATTTCTGGCCCTGGAGTAAAACCTACATCAGTTCAGTAAGTCCAAGATGCTAATCAAGCATTCCATTTAGTCATTTTATCTACCACATTCCTAGTTCCCTTGTCGCACCCTCACCCCAACATTTACTTAAACTTTTCCTTTAATTTAATGCCATGCTTTTAATGATGGCACAAGAAGGATGCCAGTGGCTGGTTGTGTGGTTTATGGAGTAACACTATAATGTCTGATGTAATCCTAGGGTACAGAGATCTGCACCCCACCTTTTCCTCCCTGCTGCCATCAAGAATTCCACTGGAACAGTATTATTAATAAAGAGTAGTTTCTTTAATTCAACACAGACTCGATAAAATGGAAGAATAAAATCATGACGTTCCTTGACTTGTAGTATAAATCTTTAAAAGTAATATGGAATATTGTTTTCTAAATATGACATTTTAAATCAAGATTTAATAATTTCTTGGCAAGGTTAAAAGGTCAAACCCCTGAAATCTTCAAAATCCAAAGGGAACCATAGAACTATAGAAATTACAGCCTATTCTTGCTTGTCATGTACTCCTGACAAGCAAGTAGATTCCAGAGAAATCACTGGAACTGAAACTCTGAAGGAAAGAGCTCTCTTCTTCCCACCCATCCACATCTACATGGATTCAGGAACATGTGGTGCACCCCCAAATGGCTTGTAAATCAGAGTTCCTCACGCTACCTAACCAAATGCTGAATTTCCCTGTTTCTTTTCTGACAAGACAAGGAATATTAATTTAGATGTCAACCCTAGCAATTTGGGGCTCTTAACATTTCTTCCAAAGCCATATATAAATGGTTTTCCTTCCCTCTGGCAAAATAGCCACCCTAAGGGAAAAGGAAAACAGTATTTATAGTCGAAGATAAAATGTGATGTGATTTTGTTAACATCCTCTGCTGGCTCACTCAAAAGGCTACTGCTTCTTGTTCAAGCTGCCACAGCTAGTAGGGAAAAAAAAATTTCCTTGGCTCAATGATAAGATAATATCAGTAAGCAATTTATTAAAGAGCCTGCCATCCATCATTGGAATTTGGAACAATAATGATGCATTGAAAGTAAGTATTCATCCCAGGTTTTTTTCCTTCCTCATAAATTCCTTCAGTTCCAATATCTCTTCAGTAAATTGTTAAGAGTATTTTGCTCTTTGTCCTTTTGGAAACAAGCCCAGGAATGAGAAGGCACCAACAGCAGCTGACACAAACCCAATGGTACTTATTGCTCGGTTGGCCTGTAAGGAAACAAGAAACAAACAAAAATCATCTTATTCTAAAGTCATCTCCATGTCCTAAACAAAGCTTTAGCTTGTTTCTTAAACAGATTATCTGTTTTAATACACAATGGATACATTTAAAGTTCAACCACAAATTAAAATCCTGTATAAAGATGAAGAAATAAATTTATATTTTTTATAATTATGCTGAAGATATAAATACACAACAGTATATATATCCTTATATTTTTTAAGGCATTTGACAGTTTATAAACTCATGCACAAGGTTCCCATTAATCTTCATAGTACACTGGTGAAAGAGGTGGCACTGCTCCTGTTTTATAAAACTTAGGATTTGCCTGAGGTCGTACCACCAAGATGTTTAGAGATAGGTTGAGTCTTCTGAAACACACACTTTGGTTGTGTTGGGTGTCGTGTGTGTGTGTGTGTGTGTGTGTGTGTGTGTGTGTGTGCATTTCTCTGACTAAAGAATGTCTTTAGCAAACTAATTCAGGGATATGATCTGAGCTGAATACCTATAACCTCTTATTTGGTAAGCATTATTTATATTCTGATGAACAAGCTTCAAGAACAGTCAATAATGATGTTAATTGCCCTGTCAAAAATTAATTTCTCAGGTAGACAAAAATAAAATAAACCCTTCTTAAGATCAATTGTCCATAAACGAGTTCAGACATTTACAGCTTTAAGGGTATTAATCATCATCATGATGAGGGATCTAATGAATATTCATAGTTTTCATGGCATTCAACTAATATCGCCTTCCATCCTCATGGGTTTGAGTACAATTTTATGACCCAAAGGTCACATTCAAACACTTCAGATTCATCAGGTATTCTTAAATCATCAGGTATTCTTAAATCCCAGAGAACAAATGTTATGAAAACAAATGAAATAACAAACAAATGAAATAACATTTCATAACAAATGTTATGAAAACATTTGTTCTCTGGGATTTAATAATCAGGGCTTTCAAATAAAGCAACACATTTTTTCAAATGATTCTGGGGACCAGTCCAAGGGCTGGAAAACCTGGCCCAGCTCAATATTTAAGCATGGCCTCTGTCTAACCTGCAGGCTTCACTGAGCCTGCCACACACATATTACTGTAACACAATGCTACACCTCCATAATGTAGCTTCCCTATTGAGAATAGGTGGCAAGGGCCAGGGCCAGGAAAGAAGCACAAGGTAGGAGAATTAGCTCCCTGTGTTTGCATCATGTACTCACTCCACTATATGATCCTGCAGTCCACAGGAACAAGGCCTGTAATTGTGATTCTGTGACTCTGCTTCAGTCCCCAGCTGCCAGGGAGAATGGCATTGGCAAACAACTTGGCCCTAGCCCTGACAAATCTTATTTTAGTTTATAATTTCAATTTTATTTATTTGGTTAGTTATTTATTTTATATTTACAATTTTAATTAATCACTACCTAATTATTTCCCAGGGAGAGAATCAGAATTCACTGCAGCACTGAGCTACCCACATAGCATATGGGGGGGAAAAGGAAGCAGGGAGATGCAGGATATGGGATAAATCCTAAAGAGGGGCAGGATCAACAATTAAACAGAGATCAAGATTATAAATCAAGCTCAAACCTAGCAGAATTCCAGGTAGATGGTGAAATCCCAAGAAGGTTGGTTACAAGGAAAGGTGGCTGGTAGTTAATGAAAAAATGTGAAGGTACAATCAATATCTTTAAAAAACAGAAGGGTCAAATGACATACAGGCACAGCCCTGTGGAGATGGCAGGATCCTGTGGATTGGATGATCCCAGCTAGATGCAAGCCTAGCTGACTAGGTTATCGTTTGGCCCCTAGAAACACAAGATGTTAGAGAAATTCCATAAATCTAAGAAGCCTGGGGAAGGGATGAGCATCCTGACTCCAAACCAGCATTCCCTGGGATCACACAAGCCACACAATAAAGCCACTTCTGGCAGTGCATGCAGTTTCCCCAATCCCAAATGTTTATTTATTTCAAGTCTCATTCTAGATAACAAAATCCCATGTAACTGGGAAAATCCCTTAGAGTTACATAAAATGGGATCTGACCTGCAAGATTGTAACATCTCAGTATATTCTCAGTATATTCTCAGTATATTCTTGGTGAAACAGAATGCACAAGAGCTTTTCCTTCATGGCTTACTTAGGATTATAAGATCACCAAATCCGACTTTGCACACTTTATCCTTCACAGGGCTTTCTGTCTGTGAGCCATAACAAAGTCCTCATTCTGAGTATCTGTACATGCCCAGTGAAACATTAGCTGAATCTGAAGGGGCTGTGGGTCACAGATGACTGCAGGGTTTATCAGAATGCTCTTTCCTGAGACACTAAGGCTGTAGTGGCACACTGATGCACATTAAGGGTGTTCACATGCTGCCTCATCAAGGCCTATTCAAGAGTGCAGCCATCTTAGAATAAGACAGACACATTTTAATAACTTGTTTGGACCATAACAGCAAAATATATTGGTTTTAGATATTTTTAAAAATACAGAAAAGAGAAGCAACAGAATAGAAGAAAACATTTGCAAAAGACAAATCTGATAAAGGATTGTTATCCAAAATATACAAAGAACTTTTAAAATTCAAGAATAGGAAAATGAAGAACCCAATTTAAAAAAAGTCAAAAGACTTAAGTGACACATCACCAAAGAGTATAAGCACATGGAAAATAAGCATATTAAAAGGTATTCAATATCACATGTAGTTAGGCAACTGCAAATTAAAACAACAATGAAATACCACTACATGTCCATAAAAGGGCTAAATTCAAAACACTGACAATATCAAATATTGGCAAGGATGTGGAACTCATTCATTGCTGCTGGTAATGAAAAATGGTATAGTCAGCGGTTTCTTACAAAACTAAGCATATTTTAGCCATATGATCCAGCAATTATGTTGTTCCTTGGTATCTACCCAAAGGAGCGAAACACTTATGTCCACATAAAAACCTGCATGTGGATGTTTATGGTAGTTTTATTCTTAAGCAAAACTTGGAAGCAACCAAGATGTCGTTCAATAGGTGAATAGATAAATAAACTGTGGTAGATTGATACAATGAAGTATTTTTCAGTACTAAAAAGAAATTAGCTATCAAGCCATGAAAGTACATGGAGAAACCCTAACTACATTTATAACTAAGTGAAAGAAGCTAATTTGAAAAGGCTACATACCGCATGATTTCAGCTATATGGCATTCTGGAAAAGGCAAAACTATAACCACATTTTTACAAATTTACTTATTTTTCTACCACTTTATTAAAGTCTGATTGCCATGCAAAAAGCTATAGATATTTAATACAGTCAACTTGATGTGTTTGGAGTAAGTATACACCCATGAAACCATCATCACAGCCAATGCCATAAACTTATCCATCACCTCCAAAGTTTCCCCCAGATCCTTTGTTGATTTTTGTGATATTGTTTCACATTTTTGTTGTGTTTTGTTATTTTTTTTCCTTTTGTGGTAAGAGCACTTAACATAAGATCTACCCTTGTAGCAAATTTTTAAGTATAAAACAGCACTGTTAATCATAGCCCCCCCATGTTGTACAGTGTATATCAAGAACTTATTTATCTTGCATAACTATAACTTCATACCCTTTGATCAACACCTCCATATTTCCAAAAATAAAATAAGTAAGTAAATAAATAAATAAATGAAAATTGCTTGTTGGCAGTGAACAACTTTACCATTAAAGAAGAAGAGGAATGGAACCTGTTTCCTAGCTATACCACTAGCTTTCAATGCAATGGCAAGCAGGAATTCGTGTCCTCTATGTTATAGCTCAAAAGCAATTTATTGTCACATGTGAATATAATATCCATTACATTAATGTGTTTCCTAATAAGAATGAATTTCCACTTAAATTATTTCCTAATGAAAATAAATGTATCCTTTTATTATGTTCTATCTCCCATTCTTCCAAGCTTCTGTGAGAAGAACTGTAACCTCATTTCTTAGGATAGAAGTTTATATAACTGATCCACCATTTCGAGATACTGGAAGCCTTGAATCAATCTGAGTTATTAAAATATTATGGTATTATTCTTCAAATTTTTAGTCTTCTTTTAAAAGTTTTCATATATAACAAGTCTCTGGAATTTAAAATCTATTAAATTATTTTTGATATTTTAATTTTTAAAAACACTTTTATATGTATTTTAGATGAAGAGGGACTTCTTGATGATAGTGTTACATATTCATTGTCTTATATCACCTCTTTTTTGGTTTAAAACATCAGTGATGGAATTGGATTGGTGGGATGACAGGCAGGGAAAGGGCAACTGAATTAGGCATGCTGTTATTTATCGTTAGGAGTCTGACATACTATAACACAGTGGTGGTAACTGACAAAATTGCAAGGTACTTCAAAAAAATAAAGTCAAGTAATCCATGAAAAGTCATCCCAAAGCTTAATTAATGAAAGGATTTACTTAAAAGCACAAAAATTTCATGAAAACTAGCATTACAAGGATATAGAAAACATTCACAAACCCACCGAGATGTGTCATCAATTGGCCTATGTCCACCAGTGACAAAGAATCTCAGAATGACCATCTATGTTTTTGGCAAATTAACTCCTACTCAAAAAAGTCAGCCTCCATTCCAATATATTCTTTTCCGTAGATGAGGTTACTCATTTGAGATTGCTGTATGGTGGAGTAATGGGAAGAACACTGAAAGACTGAAGGCAATGAGACTGACAGAAAGCTACTTCAAGGCCCTTCTAGCCCCAAATTCATGATATTTATATTCTAGCCTCAGTTTGGTCATTAACTTGCTGCATGAACTTGGACAACTCAATTCCTTTCTTTGTCCTTCAATGCTCTCATATTATCTTGTTCTTTCCATTTTGTTTGAGGCCTGGAAACCTTATAATAGTCCATAGTTATTATTTTCTCAATGTAAGAAACTTATTATATCTCCTAAAGAAAACTCACCTGCTCTGAAACTCCTTCTCCATATCGAAGCAAAGTCACGAAATGCTCACAGTTGTTGACAAATAAGTCATATGCCACCTCCTGTCCAATAACAAACTCTGACCGTTGTATGACTTCTTCCACGGGGAGAGGCGGGTATGTTTCATCGTATTTGTTGTTTACTCTGTACGTGTCATTTCCCACAACATCCTTCAAGGGCTGCATCTTCACCAGGGCCTTTGTGCTGAATACAGACTTGGCGCTAGTAAACGGCGTGGGAATGCCATCTATAAGGAGAATTCTGGTTAGCAAGGTACAGTGACACAGTCCAGTGAACTACACCACCATCTAAAGACTTTGGAAATTCTGGGATGTCTAAACATAGCTCTGTTCTTTATTTACCATCAAACCAAAAACCACTTAATCTTATCAGCCCCAAGCCCTCATCCTATAACTTATCAATAACACTTACTCAAAATTGTATGAGTGAGAATATAAGAAAAACTTTTTGAAAATGTATCATATCCCCATAGAACAAATTTGGTGAAAACACTCTTCCATTCTTGGAGAATAAGTTCTCTGTCGATTGGTATTATTATTAGAGATATTGGTATATGCTTCTAATATAGTACAGATAAGATTATTGCCCACTTTTTCTATAAAGCAGTTTCTTTCTCAGCATCTGAACCCTTCCAAACTAATACTGAAGAACTTCGCAGTACTGCCTTATGATTAGTAGGCTCATCGTAGTCCCTAAGCTGCACTCCTCACACTTACACTCCTTTTTATGCTTGTTTTTTCCCAATTAGGCTTCAATTTGGAATCCACTTTCCTGTTCTGAAACCTGCATGGTACCCCAGTATTTTGAGGGGTCAGTTGGAATCCGGGGCCCTGCTTTTCTCTTGACAGTTCCTTTGGCCAATAAACTATGTCGTGAATCTGAAGCTAACCACCAGATGTGGCCCCAGGCTGTGTCCTACCCGCCTACCACAACGTCCGTGCCCCACACTCCACCTTAGCTGCCTCTACTGATAAGCATTTGCTTAGACTATCAGGCAACTTTGCACAATGGCCTGCCATGTCAGTTCTTGTGGCTGGACAGACAATTCCTCAGGGCACAGGTCTAATGTCAGGCCTGGGTCCCTGTCAAACTGTCCACAACCACTATGTTTGGCCATGTCCAGCCAAATCATGAGAAGAAGGGTCTCCACATAACTAGTGTTTAGAAACGTTCCCTTTTAGCAATGACCAGGAACAAACTTTCTTTTCTTCTACTTTTTTATCTATCCTCTTTCTCACTGGAGCAGCATTTCCAGCCTAAGTTCTTACACATTACAAGTCTTTACAGCATATATATCCTAGTTAGGATTACTAAATTTTTTGCTTTTTAGTGGCCCAGTGCAAACAATGAGGAAATTGAAGCTTGGAGAGGTAAAATGGCTTGGAAAATATCATAGTAGTTAACAATAAAATTAAATTTCAATTCTATTCCGGAACTGAATTTCAATCTACAGGGTCAAAGCTCAATGCTTGAACCACATTAATATGAAGTTTAAGACATGAAAATAAGGAAACAGTACTAAAATCTCATATTATTTTCCAAATGTGAAAACTGCAGAGCTAATGTAGATATTAATCATCATACCCTGGAAACTAACTGCTTTGAATCATGAATGTCATTTTATTTGCCATTTCCATTTACAATATTCTAGAATAAGAGGTAAATATCTAAAAATGTTGTAACAACCACCTCATTAAAAATTCTCAGAAGTTCCCAGATAGTAAGACTTAGACCTATAGAGACTTCTCTTTAAAGGTACCTTTAAAAAATTAAAACTCCAGGTTATTTGTTATTTGCATACACTGTTCTTAATAAATTAGTGTCCATTTTTAAACATTTATATAAAACAGAAAAATTAACCATAAACATGTAAATAAAAATCACCCATTATCCTACCACTAAGAAATACCTACTATTATTCTTTTGATGTATTTTGATTATGACTTTTATTAACACGTGGGTATAGGTATATGGATTCCTGTAAGTACAGATTTTTTTTTTTTTTGCAAACTGGGTATCATATTATATATTGCATTATAATCTGAAATTTTCAAATAAATATTATATCAAGACCATCTCCCATGAAATTAAACATGTCTAGAAATAGGATTTTTTTTTTCCTAGAGACAGGGTCTCACTCTGATCCCCAGGCTGGAGGTGCAGTGGCATGATCATAGCTCATAGCAGCCTCAAACTCCCGGGCTCAAGAGATCCTCCTGCCTCAGCCTCCCAAACTGACAGGACTACAGGTGCACACCACCATGCCCAGCTGAGATGGGGAACCTTGATAATGGTCAAATCCCTAGATCCTGGTGTCTCTTAGTCCAGCACTACCTCTACCCTTTCTGCAGTTTCTTTCAGTGAAACAATGAAGATTCCCCAGTGGGTATTAGATACCTACTATTCTGTGGCTAAACCATAATTTATTTAACCATTCTCCCATTAAACATAAGCCATTGTCTACTTTTTAAACCATTATAGATGAAATAGAAGTGAATACCCTTATACAGAAATGTTTGTCCACATCTAAATATTTCCCTAGATTCCCACAAGTACAATTACAGGGTCAGAGTATATGAACTCTTTTAAGATTCTTAACACATACTGTTAAATTGTTTTTGTGAATGACTTTATTAATTTATATTTCCATCAATGATATCTTTATGTTAATTTTACTATACCTTTATCAACACTGATTGTCAGCACTTTTAACTGTTGCTAATGAGATAGGCATGAAATATGTCATTGTTTTATGATTCCTAGATGACTAGAAAGTTGAAATTTTTAAAAAGGTATGTTCGCTATTGTTTTTATTTCTTTGGAAACTGTTCACAATTCTTTACCCATTTGTTTGTTGGGTTTTTGGTGTTTTCTGTGCCCTCGGCCTGGCATACTCTTTCCTCAGATACCATCCGACTGGTTTCTTCAATTCTTTCAAGTTTTTCCACAAATGTTACTTTCTTATGAAATTTTTCTGACCATTTAATATCACAGCACCCCCACTTCCTACCACCCACCCTCAGCACTTCTATCTCCTCTATTTATTTTTCGATATGTTTCTTCATTATAACATTTATTTCCATAATTTGTCCATGTCTCTCTCTCCCTACTAAAATGTAAGCGTCACCCACAGGATATGTCTATGTATCCCCAGCACCTGGAATAGCATTTAGCACATACTAGGCAATCTGTAAATAGGTGTCGAACAGATTAAAACAATCTATTTGTGTGACACATAAAGACATTGAATCTTGTGTTTGTGGCAAACATTTTCCCTAGTTGGTTATTTACCTTTTAATTGTGATTTTTTTTTTAAATCCAGAGGTTTTAAAATTTAATGTTAATTGGTCTTTGTGATTTCTTCAATGCCACTCTGATCTTAAAATGTCCTTCCTTAAATCTAGATTAGTTGGATTTATCTACATTTTTTTGTTTTATTTTTTTTTATGATTTTGTTCATGATTTCTCCTCATAACAAGAAAACTAAAAAGCTTCCAGGAGCCTGTAGAAACAAACCTTACCTACAGGCGCTATATTGACAACATAACCATCACCCAAGTACAGCGCCCAGTGCTGATAGCCAGGACGGAACACTTCAATTAAGTCCCCTGGGTGGGGGTTGCCAGGGTAGCTCAAACTGAAGCAGTCATTAAATGCCATCTGCAATGATAAACACAAAGAGGATCTAGTTGGCATAACTTGCCCAAAGAGAATCAGTTTACGACTTCCATAGAAGCGGAAGGTTACAGAATTTATGGAGACTGCACTCCTTATTAAAGACTTAGATTCAAGTCACTGTCTTTTTCTTTGGTTCCAACACTGAATTATATGTTCACAGTAGACAACTGGAGAAACAATTTGTCTGCTATTGCTTAATTTTCTATACTGATGCTTCTCGTCCTGATCAATTTCAGAGCTCCTTTATGATATTAAATAACAAGCATTTTATAATTTTCTCTTTAAATGCAGACATTCATGGACAATATAACTTACCTATATACAAAATTTCAAAAATATTAGGGATTAAATATTAAAATATGTCCTATTTGGAATAGGGGAAATAAAGGGAAAGTAAATTTGTAATATATATATCTGTTTTGCTAAGTAAATGTTCAGTCCATGACTACACAAAAACCTGTAATAAAGTATCTATATGCTTGCACTTATTTAGCATGAAAAAGTCAGGACTCGGGAGCATAAGATCAGAAGTCTTTCAGCCTATTATACAGCATCATAGTAAAATAAAGAGCAGAGGTATGGGAGGATGCTAATATTCTGTGAATATTAAAACTGTGAAAAAAATAACTTATATTGCAGAACTTACTCTGTCATTTAAATTAAGCAGAGACAGGTTCCAGACTCAGATGGATGTCCAGCCAGATATTCAGATATAATGTAGGACACGGGACATTTCTGTCTTATTCAGAACTATACCATGTGCATGTCTAGGCACTCTGGCTTCTACCCACTAAATCTCAGCAATGCCCTCTGTCACTGTAACAATCACAAATGCTACAACAGGTTTTCACCATTCTCCTTCATGCCCCACTTACTCTTTGATTTCCCACTTACTGATTCCAGAAACTACGCAAGGTGGTCAACAGTAAAAGGAAGACAATTTGGAAGGTAGAGGCCTTCATCATATTGAGAGTAAGTTTGAAAATTCTAAGTTTGGTGAGTTTTTTTCTTTTAAATCAATACTTTTCAGAAAGAAGATATTTTCTGACAGTTTTTATGGAAAATTATGTTTTCTATGTATGGCACAGAAGTTGAATGACTCAGCAAGAGGAAATTATGTATATCTATCAACAAAGGGAGATTTAACGCTATTAATATATCCATATTGAATCTCTAATTGACAACAGGTTGTTCCTCATCATTTCACTCTAATGCAGATATGTATGCTCATTTATAAAATAACTCCAACTGCCAGAAATGGAAACTTCCAAATCATCCAAATTATAATTATAATAGTATAGGCTAAGTGCTTGGGAATACAGACTATCATTTTTCTGGCACTCTAAAAGGTTCTTTTTTTTTTCTGTACAACAATTAATATTGGAAGGGTGTTTTCCCAAGTATTTATATGCCATCTGTTGAAAACTTCAATCATCACACTGTTACAGAAATGTGGCCAAATGTATGCTGTCCATCTGTTGAAAAACAACTTTATGGAAACCATTAAGTCTAACCACCCTTTCAAATATGTTTGAGTCTTATTAATGTGGCAGTTCACAATTTGGCCACGTGGGTACTAAAAGGAAAAATAGATAATATACTGTGACATAAACAAACACATTTCCTATGAATAGGAATTAGCAAGCACACACAGCTGCCTACTAGAGTTGCAAGACCTAGCCAAAGCTTATAATAACAACCATCATTTGAATAGGGAGCACTTTGTAGTGTAATATCTTTTTTCAAATGCACTATCTCAATTAACCCTATTTAGTTGGAAAAAACCCACAACTATCTGAGTTTATTATGTTATTATCCCATTTTATAGATTAAAAGCTATAGTAGCAAATGCCAACTTTTGGAAAATACCCACTGAAACCCTTACATTATAAAATACAGAGGGAAAATAACTAGACCAGGTGTTAATGATGTGAGCTATTCTCTTAGTCTTCTGCTTGATACTTACTAGTTCTATAGCTTTCAGCATGTCGTTCAGACTGTCAGTCTCCTCATTTTGAAGACAGACATAAGAATTTAAGGCTTGCAAGTCACCCTTGGGAACTGGTAAAAACTGTTGTAAACAGTTCATGAATTGGCAAGAGCTATATAGGTGGATGCTGAGAGAGAGTGGCTATTTATAAAGGTTAATATTGGTTGATGGTTTATGTGGGATTTTAGTTTCTTATCCTCTTTCCCTGCCATGATAATTCTGTGGGATGGATTATTCCATTGTAAAATTTTAATATATTTAACATATTTTCAATTTCTGACATATTCTTTGTAAACTGAGCGGTAAAGTGTAGGTTAATTAATTTCATAAAGCCTATCATATTTATAAAGAGAAATGACAGGACACCAAGGAAAATATTTCATATGAGTAAACCCTCAAGAAACTAAGAGGAACCTGAAGACTAATATGTAAGGGGAAAAGTGAGTTCTGACACTGACCACTTAGAATTGTAGGTCTTCAAAATCGTTTGTAGCAGCAGGGACGTTTTATCAAACCTCATATCAGAAAGAACCACAAAAACATAAAATATAAAAAGCAACACTTCCCTGGATGAAGAGAGCCCCACCTGCCCCTTTTCCCCAGTGCTGCTGCTACTGAAGTTTCATGGGACCCCAGAACTTCTAGGAATGTAGCTTAAATAACACCCCTCTAGTGCTAGCCTGATCCTCTCATTTTTAAGATAAAGGAAACAGAACTGGGCAGGTAATTTGACTGGCCAAGGTCATATGCTACTATATAAAAGATTTTCAACAATTGGTGCTGAAGAAAATGGATATCCACAGGCAATAAATAAATAAATCTTGACTTAGATCTCATATCTTATACAAAAGTTATTTCAAAATGGATCATAGACTTAAATGTAAAACCATAAAATATAAGGGGAATCATAGGAGAAAATTCTCAGGGTTTAGAGTAGAAAAGGGTTGGATGACACCAAAAGTACAATCCATAACAGGAAAAATTGATGAATTGGTTGTCGTCAAGATTAAAAACTTTTGCATTACAAAAGATTCTGTTAAGAAGATGAAAAGACAAGCTTCAGAATGGAAGAAAATATTTGCAGACTACGTATCTGAGAAAGGACTAGCACCCTTTCGGCAATCTCTTTAAAAAATTAACTTGTAACTACTATATGATCCAGCAATTACACTTCTAGGCATTTAACCTAGAGAATAAAGACAATTCAAAATGGATATCCACGCAATCACCCACACATGAATGTTCATAGCAGCTTTATTCATCATAGCCCCAAACTGGGAACAACCCAGATGATTTTCAACAGGTGAGTGGTTTAAAAAACTGTTACAGGCTTACCATGGAATACTATTAAGGAATAAAAAGGAACAAACTACTGATACATGTAACAACTTGAATGAATCTCAAGAGAATTATGCTGGGTGAAAAAAAATGCCAAAAGCTCACACACTGTATAATTCCATTTGTATAACATTCTTGAAATGAGGAAATTATAAAAATAGAGAACAGATAATGGTTGCCAGGAGTTAAGAAAGTGGAGGAAGTGGTGGGAGGGAAGTGGATCTGGCTATAAAAGGGCAACATGTGGGATTCTAGTGGTGATGGAGTGTTCTGTTAGACTGGTTAACAATTGTGAGCTAATTACTTTGAACATCATTTTACAGATGAGCAAACTGAGACTCAGATGACTTCAGTCCCAGACCTAAATTCACACAGGCAGTAAATGACAAAACTGGAATTCAACTTCAGGTCTATCTTCTTACTCCAGACTTCATGCTCTTTCCTCATACCACTGATTAACATCATTAACCAAGGGAATTGCTATTAAACAACATTTCATGTTTTCACTCTTCTCAAATGTCCATTAGATGGAGAAGCTGCAAAAGCACACAAATATATATTTCATATAATGAGACAGGAAGTTTTTAAACATTCATATGCAGAACCAGCAAGTAATGGGAAGTGGAGCCTTGCTGGGAAATCCCTGTTTCTCATCTGTTTCCGAGGTGTCAGGTGGGGCTAGACTCAGATCTTAGGTAGATGGCTATAACCTGTCTGACTGGGTATTTTGATTTATATGGATACATCTACTAATTTCATTCAGGCACAGGTGTGTAATGTAGCACTTCGTTAAGTAAGAGATAACACAAAACCAATTAAAGATCATTTATAAAATTCTCTACTACAATCTTTAAGGTAAAAATGCTTCATCCATCTACACAAAATTGTGTGAATAGTTTGTAATAAAGAGTGATATTAAAGTAAGTTTGTAATCTTTCTATAAGAAATTTCCCATTTCAACTGCCAAAACAGGCTTCTCTCTTTATAGCTCCATGTTGGTCCCTGGGGATGCATCAGAAAAATAAATGCTCCCTGCACAGATAGGGACAGGTTGATTAACTGATGCTCATGTCTAAGAGGCGACCTGTGTTACAGAAATACCAAGAGCACTTTTAGCCAACTACTCCCAAGAATGCTATTAGAAGTCTGAAACACGACCGCGGGTGATTATAGGCTACCCCTAGTCCAATAGTCTCCCAATTCAATGTAGCCCTTGTTCCATTCCAGATGTTATTTTTCATCCATAATCCTGCTTCCAAGAAGCCCTGTGTTCCTAGATTGGCTAATTCGCAGACCCTCAGGGCTGCAAGGATCCTTGGTCCAATACTCTTGCTCTATAACTGAGGATTCAGCTCCTGGGCCAAGTTAACTCTCCTCTGTCACAGCACTCTCATGCTCTGCTTGGAATCCTTCCCATGCTTCCCTCTACTGACTTCCCCATTTCGCCCGCTCTGTAACTCTATTATCTTGGCCTCCTTATTCATTCCTACATTCTAGGCAAACCAAACTGGTCATTATTCTTCACACTAAAAAGTTCTGTTTTGTTTTTGCTAACACTGAAACTTCTCCCTGAAATGCACATTTCCAAATGCCCCGGAACGACCCACTCTTAAAGATCCAGGTGAGATGCCATCTCCTCCCCTAGGTCTTCCTCCA